TCCAATCCTCAACCGGGGACGGCCCCCGATCCTCTTCCCCCTCCTCCCTGTGGTGAGTTCTTCTGGGTCCACCATGTTGGCACCAGTATGCGTGTACACAATGTGCCGGGACTGGTCCCCTGGCAGCCTGACACTTCCAGCTTTATCTGCATCATAAGCTGACTTTAAAGAAATATATGAGCTGTCAGCGTGCCTTTGGCCTACATTTCTACACCCCCAGATGTATACTCAGTGCGAAAGACAGTGAGTCAACCGGAAAAAGAGCAATTCTAAATGCACTCGTGTGTTTTCTTGGAGGCAGCAGCTCTCTGGCCACACACTGCACTACAGACACACACAGAATATCAGTATGTGCCAGCCCTGAGGACGGGCAGGCAGCCCTTAGAGGTGAGAAAGGTTACATAAATACCCCCATGGTGTGTGTGACCAGAGCCCCACCCATCCCCAAACACATGACATCAGACAGGCCAGCAGTGCCGTGACACATGATGTGAGCCGGGCTCGTCGAACCAGTTAAGTCAAACGAGTTCAACTAGCTGGACTAACTTCTGAGTGAGTAAAGTATAGAAAAAGGGAAGGCCCAAAGCTTTCTTCAGACACACTTGCACCGAGCAAAGGGTGTAGTTAAAATGCCTTTTTTGGTTTTAGGGCGTATCAAATAAAAAGTGGCGTTCTGATTTTTTATCTTTCTTTATTTTTTAACTACATTCTTGGCTCGGCACAAGTGTCCCTGATATAAGCCCAGGGGCTTCCCTTTTTCTATAGGTGACTAGTTTGACTTCTCGAGCACCTTGCATTCATCTGGAGTTTACTACTTTACAACCGAAAGCACCCGGCATTTTCTCTTTCTTGCTTCTGAAAGACATCCAGAACTGTTATGTGCCCCACTTCCCACCATCTCCCAAAGTACCCGAACCAATTAGTGTTAGCATACATGATCTTTAGACCTTTTGGAGCATACCAGAACGTTTTTGAGCCTAAAAGAGAGCAGACCATCCATTTATTTATCGTTTATTTGGATTCACCAGTTTCTAATCAGAATCCGAACTGAGCACATTTCTTATAAATATATATGTAGAAGTCGTGTGACCACTGAGTAGTAAAGAACATATTGGTGATCACTCACTTGAACAATGTCTAGCACCATTCCAGCTCCCACCGTCCCGAACCCAGCCAGCAGGAAAGGGAAGACCACCTGCAGGCCAATGGAGAAGGAGGTCTCCTTGAGGGGGGCCGGCGGCTCGGGGCTCTGGTCGGTGCTGGTGTCGTCGCTCTCGTTGCTCTGGCTGGCGTTCTCCAGGAGAGCGTCCTCCTCCCTCTGACCTTTGGCGTTGGCCCGGCAGTCCATCGCCACCACAATCTCCGACCTCTCCTCATCCTCCCCGGTCTCACCGGCCCTCTCTGGGAAAGATGTGACCTCTGTGACCTCTGTGAGCTCTAACTCGCCGCCGGTTACCGGGCCCACCTCCTCGGGGCCCTCGGCGAGGATCACCGGGTGGACGGAGCAGTTGGAGTTGAGCAGGGCCGATGTCAGGGGCCCTCCCTCCTTCTTCGCCTCAATGGCCCCGGAGGACATGTCGATGTCAGGAAGTTTGTCTTGCTCTTTTGACCAAAGTACCATGCGGACGCCTTTGGAGGACAGTGGGCTTGATAAGAAAAGGTCAGGTTGTTTCGGGGAAGTCAGAATGGAATCGGCCACCCGATCTGGTTTTGAACCTGATCAGTCCAATTGATTTATCCCATTAAAGAGGCTTACAGGGAGTTGGGGTCGCTACTAAAGACCGGGAGAAGACGGTACTGTAGGGAAAAACCTGCAGCGAGCCACACGCAGCCGTGCGTCTGCTGAGCCCGTGTTCCTGTCGGTGCTTCGGGAGCAGAACCAGTATGTTCTCCATTCACTGCAAGGTGCTCAGGGTAGACCGGCGAAAAAAAGAAGAGGGCATACAGGTTCAACACAGAAGAGAAAAGGAAAGGAATAGGCTCGGGGACTCTTCACTTGTAAACAGTCCTCGGAAAGTTCAGTGTGAGCTGCAGGACAAAAAAAATCAAATCAGAGGTCTGAAGTGGGAAGATAGCAGCGCCGACTGGTCATGCTTTCAGTCCACTGATCATGTCAGACTGGTGAGTGTACCAGGCTGGGAATGTCTCACCTTACACCACGTGGCTGCTGGGAGGTTTTCAAGGGAGATATTTAAAGGTCTGTAATATGAAGATTGAATTGCAGCCTGCAGAATGGTTCCTCTCCAACCAGAGTGGACAGTCACCTGAGGAAAGAAAATGTTCATTGATTATTCAGTCCTAAATATAAACCAGTTTCAGGCCCATTACACGTTGATTTCAAAATACCAGCAGCTAGATCATGGCTTTTTAATATTAATATTAATAAAAACAACTAAATACAGCTCTGAGTGCTTAGAAGATAGCAACGTGTAAGAGCTGAAAACTATGGTGGTGCTCAAGCCTCCATTTTTGGAAAAATACTTAATACTTATTATGGGATATAATAATTTCCTTTATCAAAAAACAGAAATCCTATGAATGTGTGGATAACGTGCAAATATCATAATCAATAAACTAAACAAAAATATGTGAATATTACAGAAATATAAAAACATATAGAAAATTTAAACTCACCACAATAATATTACACAACTGCTAGAATCTCGAAAACTGATATTTAGAATTATTACATCATAAGTTTAGTCGCTCTGACGCCCATGTAATAGACTATTGTAGTACTTGAGCCAAGCGGAATCACTCCGCTCTCCGCTGACAGGACGTGAGGAGTGAGGAGAAAGCAACAGTTTCAAATCAGTTTCATCCAGCGCCAAATTTCCTCCCGGCGGCTAAAAATATGTCAAGCATTAACTGAGGCGCTGCGAACATCCTCTGTAACGGAGTGTCACACGACYATCAATTCATCCCTCTTTTAACGCGAAGAGCAACAGTTCCTGTCCGACCTTTCAAAGTAAACGCCACCTCATTTCCTTATTTCCACTCGTCAAAACAAAACCACAGCAACTCAACAGACACACACACACACACACACACACACACACACACACACACACACACACACACTTTTGACTCGTGCATCGACAATAACTGAAAAAACACCCTATTTAGAGATAAGGTTAGTCCTAAGCGACACGGAGGCCACGCAGAAAGGTGCGCATTCGCCCACAGCTTACACGGAACTATATAATTGACGCTCTTATTTCGAAGGCCAATCTGCTCGCTTCCTGCGGTACCTTTGCGGACTTGGCGCGGCTTTCATCCTGCCTGCGTTGTTGCGACATCCGCACACAGTCTTTGGCTCTCCACGCTGAAACAATCCTCTGTTTAGTAGTCAGGACCAACACCGCCCGAACCCAACATAGCAAAGGCGTAAATTAGTGCTCCCCTGGTCCGGGCTGAATAGACGAGCCCTGCTATTCTATTCTGCTGCTCGTTTAAACGAGGGCAGAGCTTTCTGTTCCAACACCGGGCTGGAGCTCATGTCACCGGCCGCTATCGCCACGAGCAATTTAACCCGTGAAAAGTCGGTGCAAAACGCGTTTCTTTTTATCACCTAGGGTACGAGCGGCGGTGTCTTGGCAGTTTGAGTCGCCAAGTGACACATTCCGTTAGATAAAGGCTCTGACAGCCGGTCGCTCATTCGGTTCTATGCAGGTAGTAAGATTTAAATAAAAAGTTCCTCGGCGGTGGTTACCTTGTGTTGTCGGCGTGTTCCGGAGAGGAAGAGCGATATTCGGTCAGAGCGGACGCGCTTCGCGTTGCCGGCTGGATGCACCCCTCCACCTCTCAGTAACGCGCTCAGGCTGAGGCGTGGATGCCGGTGCGCACGCCTTTATGCAGCCCACGGTACCGGCTCCCGCTCAGCTGCCTCGGTGGTTAACGCTGGTTAATGGTTAGACACGTCCTCCTCCTGCGCGGTGTTGTACCCAGTCTCTGTCCATTCGACCCCCGTCACATTACTGCACCAGACCAGTGGCCCCCGCCGGCCGGCTGCTTGGATGCGCGTCTATAATACACCCCGTCCGGTGCGGGGGGCCAGGAAGCCACAAGGCGGGCCCTCCCTCTCCACTCTCTGGGCTGAAGATACAGACCCCCCCCCCCCCCCCCCCACACACACACATTAGTGTGTGGACATTGGTGCCCGTGCGATGCCAGTCTCCTGTACAAGCCTGCTAATATACCACCAGGGAGGCTCAGAGATAGAGAAGTTTTAATTTAACAACATATTCCTGAATGAATGGGCACGCACGCCGGCTAACCGGGCCGGGGCGGACTCGTGTCAATGATCCATCAACACAGAGAATAAATAAACGCAAGTCTTACATAAGTGGAGGTTTTGAAATGACCCGAAACCACACAACGGGGATCTCGAATGGCATGATATTCATAGACAAATAAAGAAAGGAAACCTTTTGAAAACCACTTTAATGATTATAAGGTGTCTCTATATTCAGCAGTGACTTTATTTATAGTGACCAACATATTACAACCATGTAATTATCTCTTATGGCATTCTTCTATTTCCTTTAATTACCTTTTCACATCTCCTGTGGTAGCTACTATACAATTCTATAACATCGTGGTTTTTGATTTGCTGCACATCGTAACGTATAAGCATACTGAAGCTTTTCTTCATCAAGGGATTGCAGAGTGCATGTGTGTGTGTGTGTGTGTGTGTGTGTGTGTGTTATCTAAGAGAAGACCTCATATAGGTCCACTCCTTGGAGAGCAGCAGCTCTAACAATGACCCCAGAGGACCTTGAGCTCTGTTGAGCTGTCTGCCTGTTGCTATACAGCCGCTCGGCTCAGCATCAGCAGCCTCAGCATCGCCCAGCGACCAGAGGCTACAACGCTTTAATACGATTCAAAGGAATCGTTCATTTTGGGAGATGAGCGCATATTCACTGTCTTGCAGAGAATTCGATTCTCAGATACAAATCTAATGTTGAATGGTGAATATGAATATGCAGCGAGCTAACTTAGCTTAGCAGAAAGGCTGGAACAAGGGGGAAACAGCTAGCTGGGCTCTGTTTAAATGGTTACAAAATTGGCCTGTCATCACCTTTAAAGCTCACTCGCAAACACGTTGACATCCTGTTTGAAGCATTAAAAAAAACAGTACACTGTTTTTTCCTGTCCAGAGGTGGAGGACTTCCTCAGATGTTACAAGAAAAAGGGATAATTTTCAACATTTTACGTGATTAAAGAAATGTAATATAATATTCAAAACTCTATTTTCATTAGTGTTTAATCACCTGAAAACTAAGGGTCATCGTGTTTTCATATCTTTACGGAGTCCGCCATGTTTCTACAGTAGCCCAGAACAGACAAATATAAACACTGGCTCTAGAGAGGGCCTTCAATTGCTAATTATATTTTGTGTTAATAATCTGAATCCGCAAAGAAACTTGACCAAAGCTTTAAAACAATAGATTGGAGTGAAGAGTAAAATATTTGTCTCTCACATGTAGTGAGTAAGGGTAAGTATAAAGAAGCATAACATGGAGACACTCAAGCAAAGTACCAGTAAATTGCGCTTAAGTGCAATACTTGAGTAAATGTACTTCACATTGATGGCGCAGATTAAACAAACAAGATGTTAATGTGTTTATGACTGAGCTTTAGAGGTAGTGGGAGGCCGATTTTGTTTTACCTTTCAACAGAGCCAGGCTAGCTGTTTCCCCCTGTTCCCATTCTTTATGCTAAGCTAAGTTAGCTAAGGTTGGCTGTACCTTAATACTTAGCGTATCAACATGGAGAGTGGTATCTCAACTCAGTCATGACAAGAAAGCAAATAAGAGATTTTCCCAAAATGTTGAATGTAATGTTTAATATTTAAGCTGTATTGAAAAAAACAACCGTGAAGCACATAATAAATACAAATGTTGGATTAAAACATGGGATATGTGTGAGATTATGCCCTGTGAAAAATCACCTTTGCAGACACAAAGCTATTCATTTATTTTTGAATGCAGCACTTCTTTACATAAGTGAATATTTAATACCATTCCGATTTCCAGACATCAGAGAAAAGTCTGAAAGGGAATTTCTTGGGGCTGTTTTTCTTTAGATGTCTATATGCAGCGGCTTATCTCTATAGTTTGCAGAACGTTCAGCAGGAAGTGCTCTTTTTACATATCGGTGGGTGGCTTTCTCGGCTTCACTCAAAACAAAAGTTCAACATAACTGCTTCCAGGAACAGATCTCTGTTCACACAGGGAAATAACCCTAACCACCAAATGATCAACAGTGCAAATTACAAGCAAGCAGTTATAAGCCATAAGTACATTATGGGCATCTTGAAGGACATTTTCTGTGCCTTAAAAAAATGTTTTTTTCTGTCCATCTACCTGTGGCATTCTGTCCATTAATTTCATAGTACAAATATGTAATACAATTACACAACGTCCAGGTAATAATCAGATTGTTATACCAGTGGAAAGGATCTAAGAATAGCAAAAACGCCTCTGTGTTCCATCCATCCCACAATTTTGTTGATGATTATCAATAAAGCTAAGATAGCCTAACCCTCCACTCACTGAATTAGCTTTTAAATACAAGTTATCTCTCTCTCACGCAAACATACACACACATGCACGAACACACTGTCGCTGAACAAATATAAATGAAAGTCAAAGACACATCTGAGCTGAACAACTCTGTCATTTATTGATTGGACAGGATATCTTTTTGGCAGCATATCAGCTAACAGGTACTATTTAACCATTAATGTTCCGACATACATTGACTGGCAGTGATTCGAAGTCTAACTGAAGTTTCATGTCTTCTTCTTTCGAACAGCAGGAGCAGAGATGTGCTCCGTCAAACTGCGTGGAAACATCTTACATGTCCTTTTTGTAAGTCTATAATATGATTTAGAAAGACTCTTTTAAAGTAATCAATATGTTGTGTTACTGTAACAGAGCTTTTTTGCATCTGTTAGCCTCTTGTCTGGATTAGGGACTAGCTGGTGAACATAGTTTATCAGGTAGCAGGTAATGAGCGGCTATATTTTCTTTCTCAGTAAGTGGAAAACAAAACAGAGCTAAAAAGAATAGCGAATATTGGAGTTACACTTGTCAAGTGGCAAGAAACAACTTCAAATGAATGCAAACAAAATGAAGGAGGAATACTAATATCTCTATAGATCTGTGTCCTAATGTCAGTAGAAAAGGAATTTGGGCCGTTGGAAGAACAGTTGGCGGTCCAGGCAAAGTATTGAGGAGCTCTGACAGAGCTGGCCCAAGGGCAGCCTGTCAAAGTTGAGACTTAGAGTGCCGTTCACCGATACCTTAGAACAGGTACAGTGCAAAGCACCAAAGCCACCAACATCAGATGGAGCAGGTGGGAGGACATCCTGCAAGATCTTGGTCTAGAAATAGGCTCCAGTGGCTACTAATGGAGTGGGAGTTGTACACAGATGATTTAAAAAAAGGCCAAGACCAGGAGGCAACCTCAGGTTCTGAAGAGTGAAGCCAATGCAGAAGTGTCTTAAACTTGCATTCTTTCTACTGACCACCAGGGGCGACTCCTCTGGTTGTATAGAAGTCTATGAGAAAATGACTCTACTTCTCTCTTGATTTATTACCTCAGTAAACATTGTAAACATGAGTTTATGGTCTCAATCTCTAGTTTCAAGTCTTCTTCAATACAGCATGATGTTCATTTAGTAAATGATGGTCCATTTAGAGTCTAATAGACCATAAAGCGGAGTATGTTTTAAGGCGGAATACCTTGTGATTGAGAGGTCTCTACTCTACCAGAGCTGTGTACAGCGTCTCTACGTCACTCCTCTTCGTTAGTTGGTTGCAAAAAAGCCAAGATGGCAACGGCCAAAAAGCCAAACTTGAGGCTTTAAAACGGCTGCCCCCAAACCAATGGGTGACGTCACGTTGACTGCGTCCACTGCTTATATACAGCCTATGGCCAAGACGACAAAGTCTACTGGGGATATATCCTCAAAAGAAATGGCAAGGAAGAACACGGACAGCGTGGATACGTTCTAGGCACGGCCCAGACAGGAGAAGTGATGGCGGTCATGGAAGGCCTTTGAAAAATGCAAAATCAAGCATATCAGAATGATCGCCCATAGTTTTTTCTGTGCTTAAGCTTTGAAAGAAGACCTTGACATTCAGCTAAAAGATGGATGAAGGCACTCAGGGAAAGGCTGTAGCCCACAGCGACCTGTGAAGAAGGATTGGAGAATAAACACATATCTTGAGGTGGTGCGCTAGAGAGTGCTCACCACACAAGGAACCCACTGGCAGTTGACCAATACGTCCAAGAATGTAAAGTGGTACTAGTGGGAGCGAGAGGTTGTGGAGACTCACCAAAGGAGTCATAGCAGGAAATATTAAGATAAGCACAGGTGTTACCAATAACATTAACGATGGCTGTGTTCTATTAATGCATCTCAGAAAGACGAAAGAAAACAGTGTGACGGAGAGCCATCATGGACAATACCAGGACCCGGAAACTAAAGCAGCACCAGGAATTTAAGCCATCACTGTTTTTATCATTTATAAATCCTCATACAGTTTTCTGGGCGCTACTTGGGGCCGCATACGTTTGAAAGGTACCAGAGTTCACTTGACTGAGCAAATAAAACGTATCTTCTTTTTACTTCAATAATGATGCATTTTCCAACGTATTTGTATGTGATTTCTTCAGAAGGTCTCCTGGTGCTGATTGAAAGTAGGCAGGGAGAATGGAAAGTCACGGGTTGTCCTGAAGAGGATTCAGAAGCTAAAAGGATTCAGCACACATGATACATGAGTCTTATTACGTCCATCACTAGCATTTCTAACAACATATTCTTTGTATCTGTATAATCTAAAAAAGATTGGATACTGGTTAGTAGAAAATATGTGTCCTAAAATATAGTTTACTATAAATACAGGGCGACTGTGGCTAAGTGGATAGCAGGGCCGTCCTTCAATCAGAGGGTCGGTGGTTTGATCCCCGGCTCTGCTAGTCGCATGTTGATGTGTCCTTGAGCAAGAC